TCAGGCCTCTTTGCTGCAGTATAAATGTTCATTTTACAAAATTGCAATGCAAGTTTGGCCAAGAGCTCTTACCTCTGCTATGGCTCACTGAACCATTTGCATCTTATGAATTGGAGCCCTAAGTCATGTTCATTTAATCAGTCACTCCAGTGCAAATACTGATGAAATCGCCAAGTGATTTCTTGGCAAAAAGCAACTCTGATTGCATATGCTTTTCCCATGGGGTATAGCCCCTGCTTTTATTTCATTCCTAAATAATTTTTTGCATGATTGGAGGACTATGAATGAAGTCAACAATATATTTTTGTTTTTATTTCAAATCCTGACGGAAGCTGCAAAGGACATATGTGCATAATAAGGAAAAGGGAAACTGATCAATTGTTTAAAAACAAAATTGCTACACTTAATGTATTTTCCTTTACCAAAAATTGTTGACAACCATTTAATATTTTAGAATTCCTTAAGTTATAAAAGAAATGTTATTTTTTAAACAAGGGAAATCCAATCATTTCTCTTAATCTTTGCATAGTTGTAGCCTTGAAAAAGATTGTACACAGTTAAAAGCACATTACTGAATCCATATAGATATTCCTGTACTAGGAGATTTACTTCAAAGTGAGGTGCTTGTTGTAACAGCTTCATACTAACTAGAGTATTACTGCTTTTTCAGTGAGAAGAGTTGCAACTGTTGACAAGGGGTATGACTAGTTCTGTTTCACCTACCACGCGCCCTGCACAACATCTAATAATGCATGACTTTTTGGTAGGCTTGTTTGACTCACTAATGCAGCGGAAGAATACCTCCCCCCCTCCCAGGTTATTTTCTTGTAGCATTAGCGAGCTGAAGGATCTCGGGAAATTATCAGATGAACATGGGAACTGGTAAAATGATGGGTGCCTGTGTTTGGGGAATTAGAACGACACATCCCTCTTTCAGTAGCAACAAATAAGTAGCATATGTAATGTGGCTCTAAATGTGCTGGATTTTACATCAGTACAAGTCACTGCTTCCTGAAGAGACTTTCCCTCTAAATAAATCTTCATTCCATTCTGTGACCAGGTATTCTGTGTGCTGTTGCTAGGTTCTTCCAATTTGGCATTTTCATCATGGGATATCTGTCAGATGTAGCTGTGGTGTCAGTACTCCACGTCCTGGAATCCTTTTACGTTCCATGATTGAGTGTTCTTTTTTGCTGCTTTCAAAGTCTGAAAAGACTGTCACAGATAAAACCAGGCTCTGTTGCACTGAGCATAGCTGAGAATATGCAGTGACAGTGGTTGGTCTACAAAGCTGCAGCTGTGGTGGCGTGCTGGTTTAGTTGTCAAAAGAGGATGAGGGCCAAGCAGCCAGGGGTTTGCAGGCGGTTTCATAAAAACCTCATAGGAATGTTACTGGTACAGGAAAAGCCCATGGGCAGAAAGGGGAAGTTACAGTTACATGGATGTAGCCATGACTCAAGTTACTTAGTTTTTAAAAAAAACTTAAAGCAAGGAAGGGTACGTATTTCTGGCTTACTGCCGCTGTTCAATAATGGGTTATAGCCTCAAGATATAAATGGGAAGCAGAGGACTGAGTAGTTGACCAAGGAGTTATTTTTAGGGAGAAAGTTTATTAGGGAGAAAGGGGTTTGGTTGGGGTTTTTTTGTTTGTTTTCTAAAAAAACAGCAACAGCACCTGCAGTTGAACAACAGAGTTCTTGGATTACTTACTGCAGCAACTATTTTGTGAACTTCTGGTATTTCTGGGAATAAACAAGCTATGTTTGAGTGTGAAAACTATTGATGTGCTTCCCTGCAATATTTAGGAGACCTTTGCTTAAATAGGGGAGTACTCAAAACAAGGATGCTTAGGCTACTTGGTGGTTTGATTAGAGAATGACGCAGAGTTAGGAGTTTCTTGGCAAGGTCTATGAACTTAGCACTCACAATGATCATCTTTTTAAAGTTGTGGTGTTCTTTAAGTGACTTTTGAAAATGTAAGGCTTTCATGGCACCCAACACTTTTCACAAAAAAACCCATCTTATTTGTCATTTACACGTAAGAATAATCTGTCTGAAGTCCAATGAGAACACTTCTGGTCATTAACAGCTTCAAATTTTGAGGTTTTCATTAGTGGAGGCCTGGTAAAAGTCATGCATAAGAATAATGTAGAGAGGAGAGCATGTTCTGGTGCAACATTAGGAAGGTAAAGAGAAGGAAGAGTAGAATTTCAGTTTAAGAAGTGAACTCTGTAGTTACGCATTTTGTATTGAAGCTGAGTTGTACAATTGCTGGCCCTGCTTTGTTTTTTGGGAAAAAATTGTCTCATACTATTATTATGTTGTTTTCAAAGGAGCATAAAGAAAAGGTTGAAGTCTTGACAGCTATGACAAAGTCCAGTGCCATAATGTGTCACCAGATAAGTGATACTGTATAGTCTGTGGCAGTCAGCAAAGCATAGCAGCCACTATTTATATGTCAACTTTAAAAGAGAAGAAGTGTTACCCGAAGGGGAGAGAATATCAGAATTTGACAGCCTGGTAGACATCTGAGGTTAAATGTCATCTTTTGAGTAGATTTAACTTACATATTCATTTTACATATTGAGGTCTGAAATTCCAGCCTTTAAGTGCTTATTTTGTTACTTTATGTCACTTAAAAACATTGTGCCTAAGAACAGAGGAAAGTTTCGTGATAGAGCAGATGATCATAAAGGTTAGGTCATAATTTTCAGTATCTGACTTATACTGTGTAAATATGTAGGTGCATATGCAGCTAACAACAGGAGAGAGAGATGCATCTTGTTCATTTCTTAACCTTAAAAAAAAAGTTGACTTTCAGTAATAATTTGTATATTACTTGGATTCCTCCTCTATTATATCAAATGATTTTCATGTTTTCTAGGCTTGCTGTTCTTTGTAAGCTCTTATTTCAATTTAAAATTCTAAACTAGAGCCTTGTTTGTATGTCTCCATGAGCAGCATACATAATGCATGGAAAGTAACTGTGTAGGTGTTGGGATTGTTTTGTTTTCCCCCCTTCCCTGCCATAAGTTGTTTGTCCTGTGAGCATTTGTTTGTGTTTTGTTTTTTAACCTCCTGAGTACTCTTGTCCCTTTATATCGCTCAGAACGGGGGGGAATAGAACAGAGATACCTCTATAGTTATTTTAATGATCTTGGAAGAACAGAAGTTGTTAGCCTTCAAACAATATTTTCAGCTTGGCGTTTATGGGGAACAGTATGCTTTGAATCAGAGGCACCATATTTTCCTCAAGAAAATTGCCAGTATCTTTTTTACATTCTGAAGGCTGTGTGAAACTTTCCGTTGAAGTGTGAATTACAAAGCTTTGATTGTATGACTAAAAAGATCACTTCCTGTGATTTCACAATTAGTCTTAAGCGTTGCAGAGACTAAAATTGATAATACCTTGATGCCGTTTCATCCATTCTGTCTGCTATTGTTTTTGTGTGAAATTGGTAGTAAATCCAATTATTTTCTAACAGTTTTACTTGAAAAATAATATTCTATAGCTTTAAAGCCACAGTTTCAGAACTTTAATGATTTTAATCTAGAAACTGGTAGAAGGTAGTTGTCTCAAATACAGATTCCTTGGATGTAGGGGAAAGAGGGAGGCAGAAGGCTGAACTGTGACCTTCATCTTCTGTTCCCCAGCTGTAGTGCAAGCTGTGTGTTCTCTCTGTTTTTTGACTTAAACGCAGCATGCAAATCTAACAGCCAGTCACATCTAGTGCCTGGATCCCTAGATCAGGGGAAAAACTGCACCACTGCACAGGAAGATGGAGAATGCTTTCCTCTCCTTGATCTTACTTCAGCTGGTTCATATGGCAGAATATGAGACTTTTGAGGATATGGCATGCTTTTGTGCCACTTTGCATATTGCAACTGCACTGCTTTATGTTGCTTTTCTTTTCACAACCTCGCATTCATGTGCCTATCCTAGCTTTTCTTAGAAGAGCATTGTCCGTGGTAAAGAACCTTTTGCACCTTTTAAAAATAGGTGTATGATACGTGAATGGGAGTGTAGGCTGTGGGTGGGTTCGTCTAAATCCTGGGTACATGATGTTATGCTCAGAACTGGCAGTTGCAACTTAGAAGAGAGATCCTGGACTTTCTCTGAATACATTGGCTTGATACACTTTGGCAGCCAAACATGTCAACAGTGGGCCAGACAGCGTTAGGAAGGGAGTTGTGAATAGGACAAGAATGGATTGATGTGAGTGATTGAGTATAAAAACTTTGAGAAGCCTTGTGAAACATTGGTGTCCCCACTTGTTTTTTAATGTTGTCAATTCTGGTGTCTCCTTCTCTGGAAGAATGTTAGAGCAGGTAGAGAGGGGCAGCTAAAATAGTCATAGGACCAGCTGTCTTAAAGGAAGAGACTGAAAAGTTTGCAACTTCAGCATGTGGACCAGGCAGGGTGCACCCTTTAATGGATGTAATCCAACAGCTATAGTTCTTTAGGGAACATGGTGGGGATGGACAGCAGAAAGTGCCCAGGCTTGCATGCTCCTCTTAGATAGCATTTCCTGTTGCTGCTGAGGACCACTGATCTGACCCAGCAGTGTGTTTCATATGTCCTTAACAGGAGAATGTCACAGGCACTTGTCTTGGACTATGACCTGAATATAGAAGTTAAGTAAATTGTTCGAGTACTTCTGTGATTAGGTGGTGATTTCTATCAGTTGAGAATTTGGTTCATGGCTTTGGAAAGAGTCAAATGATAACTTATTCAAGGTTTGTTTATAGGGTGTTTGGTGACATGTTTTCTCAACTGCAACTTTTGAGAGTTGTTTCTGTATTTCAGTTAGTGGATTATTGCAAGGTAAAATGCAGTGAAGGTACTACCACGAAAAATGCTACAGATTTGCATGAAGCTAAAAGGACCTATTTTTTTCTCTTATTTCTTTCGAATGGGTCCTGTTTTCACAAACTTTTTGTACAATCATTTTTTTCTGAGGTAAAAAGCTTCCCCTCCCCCCCCCCTTTCTTTTTAACAGGTTCTTGAAGATGCAGAGGCTCAACATTTGTTCCAGTCCATTCTTCCTGATATGGTCAAGCTGGCACTCTGTCTCCCTAGTATCTGCACCCAGGTAAGTAAATAGAGCTAGCTAAGTGCTCTGTGGCAGACCACTTTTCTGCAAACTGTAACTAATGGCTAAAGTCAAAACATCAGGATCGTGTTATAATAAAAGCTATAGGTTTTGTGTTGAACGTAGCTGAGGCCTAGGGAGCAGAACGGACAATGCACTTCTATAATGATATAGTGGAATGTAAAAAAAAAAAAATATATCTTGCTGTCATACTTTTAGCCTGAACTTCAGTAATGTTTTCCTTTCTATATACTGGAGTTGCTTCTTGCTTTTTTAAAATGAAAATACTATGAAACATTTCAAGTTTGAAAATCACACTTACAAACTGAACTACTTGAATAATCTTAAAGTGTGATTTTTTATTTTAGAATTTTTTTAATCCTACAAGTAGTATTTTCATAAAGCCTTTGTTTACTTGGAAACGTTTTATTCTAGTTAAAGCATCACAATACTTGCAGACATACAAACATTAACTAATTCATTGTTATGGGAATCGGTTTTGTAGGTAGTAAAGCTGATGAAAGTGAATAGGACTGATCAAGCAAGAGTGTATGATAGGTAACACATTAGCAGGGTTATAACTAATTTGTAACCTCCTTTGTTACAATTTTCGAAATTGATTTTATTGGACAGGACCAGAGAAAATCTCTCCCTACTTTGTTAGGCTGCCGGGGTTCTACAGTAGAGATAATTTCAAACAGTATGACTATTTCCTAAAAATGTTTTTACTAGTCACTTGATGGGGGAAGTTTTTGAGAATGCTGTGAAGTTTCTAAGCACAAAGTCAAGCACAAGACTTGCAAGTTCATATAGTAATGCCTTTTATAAAGATGATGTACTGTTAGGCAATGTAAATTGTGAAGAACTTTGTCAGACTAATTTTTTTGGTTAGACATAAAGCTAAATTTATTCCAGTATAACATACTGTCAAAAATATCGTATTTTTATAGGCTTGTAGAACTTATTAGAGAGAGCTTGTCAGGCTTTTTTCCCCCCTCTAGCTGTGTGACTTCGGACATTATAATGTAGCTTGTTAATTAAATAGCTGGAAGACAGAATGAGATTCAGTGAACATGAATGTAGTAGTTATAAGAATCAAGTAAAACTGGTTTTGTGGAGTAAACAGGGCTGTGTATTCAACAGTCTGAATTAGTAGCAATTTCTGTATTCACAACTAGAAAGATTAAAATGTAGCTGCTCAGCTGTCCTGGAGCTATGCTAATGATGATGGCTGAGAGTATTCGAAGAAGAGATTAATGTGGTGAGCAAAAATTCCAAATCAGGAAGCTAAAGTCTGATAAAATGGAAGATGTATAACACTTCATGTGGGTTTTTTTTTTGTTGTTCCCCCTGCCCCTTAGTTTCTTTTTAGATTAAAGAAACCCTGACTAAAGTCAAATAAAACTCCAGACTGAAGACCAAAGTGATGCTGAGCTTCTTGTTCATTGTGATTATAAAAGAATGGATAATCATGCACTTCCTGCAAATATTATCAGTGTTATTTTTTCAAGTAGGATTGAAAAAAATTCAGAGCAAGTCATAGACTGATGATCTGTGGCATGCCTTCCATGTTTCTTTGTAAAGTGTAAAGCATGGTTATTGTAGCTGAAAGCATTCCTTAAGGGTTCTTAACTATGCAGCTGTCAGAAGTGGGCTTTTACTTCAGTTTTTAAGATTGCCCAGGATTTACAGCATCCCATCTACTTTCCCCCTCCCCCCCCATTACCCATGGTTTTGTTTGACAAGCAGTGTTTTCTTGGTCTTTCTTTTTATTATTGATTAGAAATCTGCAGTTTGTCAAGCAAGCTTTTTCCTAATTGTCTTGAATAAACGGTTCTTGACTTTAATGGTGCTGCTGATTAAAGGGTTCACCAATGGCCTAAATTACTCTTGCTCTAATTTAACAAATGTAATTTGTGCTCCTGTTTTTTCTTCTAAAATGGGTAAGCTAATTATTTTTCTCTCTCCTCCCCTCCCTTCTGTCCTGCCCCTCCCTCCCCCTCACCTCTTTGTTGGTAGCCAATACCTCTACTGAAACAAAAGATGAATCACTCCATCACAATGTCACAGGAACAGATTGCTAGTTTTCTAGCCAATGCTTTCTTCTGTACTTTTCCACGTCGCAATGCAAAGATGAAGTCTGAATATTCTAGTTATCCAGACATTAACTTCAACAGGTATGGCACTCCAGAGTAAATGAAGCTGATAACCCTTCAATGAAAATATTATTGTTGTCGTTTACAGGAGAAACTCCTGTTTCTTTCATGTTCCTGTCACTAATTTCAGTAGTTTGCTTTCTGTCTTTTCTGTTTACCTCTAAGGGACAAGAAAACTATGCAACTACGTAAGAAAGGATCCTGTGCACAGGAAGATACGCTTAATATTCCAAATTATTCTTTTCTTCATGCATGCACATGCACAGGCACGCTCTTGTTGTGGCATAAGTAGGCTGATACAGTTCCCTACCTCCTCATAAGCCATTTGTCTGCAAATGGTATATTTTAGTTGTGCTTCCAAGTGTTCTATATGTATTTAAATTAAAGGTCAGTGTTTCCCTAGCCATGTTACTGTTGTCTCCTTTGTGTCAGCAGTGGTGATCTGCACATTAAGTCAGATCAATAGGACGTGATTCTTCAGTATCCAGTCTCTTATCATTTTAAGGCAGTTGTAGAGCTGCATGTTAAAATAAAGCTGTCCTTTTTGCTACAAGTTAGCCTAAAAAGGTTTCAAGACCACAATAAGAATTTAATTAAAGATACTCTGATTTCTAAACAAATGCTTATTCTTTTTTGCTCAATGGCAGTTTACAGACAGATTTGATTAGAAATTTTTCTTCACATCTTTTATTTTTTAAATATGCTTATTTCAATTTTAAATGGGGGACAAAGATGGAGATATTTCCTGCTGCAAAATATTATGGTTCACATGGACTTGTAGATTAGAAATGAGTTTGTTATCTTCTGGACGCTTCCATACAAGTCTGTGTGGATCAACCTCAAGTTTATTAGGCTGCAGCTTGGACAGATTATTGATCTAGAGGTTTTTCTTATTCCTCACAGTTAACATATGTAGTGTATATGCTCTGAAAACTGAGATGAAATATAAAAATACTGTTACCTGTGATCCAGCACACTTGGGTATGCCCTGTCATGAGCTATATTAGACTGGAACTTCCCAGAATAAATTGTCAGGCATGCTGATGTACTAATAATGGTTTTGGTGCTTGCTGTCTTCAAGGGCTAGCACACGTTTCTCTATACTGTGTATTTCAGAAGAGAAACCAGGGTCACTGTCTTGGTGTTTATTCCAACAGTGCAGTGGGTTACAGAAGAGAATTGTGAGTGGACATTAATGTACCATACAATTCAGCATATTTTTTCCACCATTAGTTCATAAGAACAAATAAATGGAAAGTACCATCCATGCATTAAAAAAGATCTGTGTTCAGAGCAGTGAAAGAGGACAGTAAAGTTCTGGAAAGAGTTCTGTTTGACTGCACCAGCTACACACTTCTAGCTGAATTTTATGTTTTTTTTAAAGGACTTTAAGGTACCAGGTTTTGTTGTAACTTAAAGCATGTTATAAATCAAGCAGTTAAATTCTTACCAACTATAGAATAAAATGCTGTTAAATCAGTGCAGTAAATTCATATTCTCTTCTATGAACAGTGCACAGCAATGTAAAGTCACTGTAGTGTAATACTAGTGGTTAACTCGGGGCATAATATTGTGAACTACTACTAAATAAAAAAGCCTTGGCAAATTATTAGGTAAATAGTTTCCTGCCATAGACTTAAAGAATGACCAGTAGTATAAAGTATTAACTATTCAGGATTTTCTATGCTATTCCAGTCATCCTCCTTTGTTTTCTGACATGGCTTCCTAGTCCTATCACTCAGAGTATGTTCCAACAATGTTATTTAAAAAGGGTAATACAGCAGACAATCTTAAGGCCTTCCTCTTGCATTATGGATGAGGTAATGCTCAGCTTTTAGTCACATAGGGTAGAAAGCCATTTTTATTCATTTAAGTGCAAGAATATTGTTGCCAAACTGGAGAAAAGAAAGGAAGCTGATGTCCTCTGGTTCTTGAGGATTAAAAGTGGCTCTTCCTCAGTGTTTGCCAATTTGTGTGATTTTTATATAGTTACAGTTTCCTTTTTCAGTCCTATTTCTACTTAACCATTTGTCAGACCACAATTTCCCCTCCCTGTGTATTTTGCATTTGATAATGAGCAGATTAGTGAAGTAGAATATGAGGTGTGACAGGCAGTGGATAAAATAAGAGGGAATGTCTCAGTGAGAGGGGGACTGGCAGAATAAAAACAAAAGGAGATTGAAAAGAGTGAGTGGTGGAGGGAGTACTACAAGAATTTACAGTTTTGTATCATGCTACTGTGTATAACCTGACTCAGTTGAAATCTAAAATGAGGAGGAGGAGGAGGATGGATAGTATCCTATTTCTTTTCCTCCTGTCAACCCTGTATTTTATCGCCCTGAAAAGTTAGTTCTTTAGTAGCAAGGACAGAGAATAAAATGTCGAGTTTTCAGCTATTGTTTCAGCCTTGTAAAGATGACAAGGTTTGGTCCATTGCAGTGTGTATTTTCAGCTTTTACAAAAAAGCCTTTTGTGAAGCTGGATATACTCAAAAGGCAGTAGGCAATGACTGAAGTTAAAATGTTTGTGACTTTTTTTTTCCTCTTTATAACAATGTTTTTGATGTAAAGGCTTTGGAGGCTGCTGCTTTGCTGTCTGCTTAGGGATGGGCATAACAGATTGTTCCACACAGCAACTCTTTCTCCCCACAGTATTATGGTCTGCAGCTTTTTCCAGACTTAGTTCTTTCCTCAGCATAATTCATCTGCTATATGACTGAATGAATGACTTTGTTCTTCGGGTACAAAATAATAATCTGCCATGGTTCCCTAACGAAGCAAAATTACTGAGCGGACGCTGGCATTTGAGGGATTTTTTTCTTTAGCAAATGTGGTGTTCCTCAGTTCCACTACACATGCCCTTTCTACATTCATACAAAAGGCTTCCACCCCTCCCCTCAAATCTTTGAGACTGACAAAATAAAATTTGTGCCTTAAGTTAGAAACACAACTGTGTAAGCTGTTTCTTTCTTGTGTTTTCAATTTTACGCAGCAGTCATTTATCAATTCACTTTATGCAGACTTAAGCATTAATATCTTTTTATACACTATAAAATAATTACAGTTTCTCCATTTAAATGTTGTCATGTTCCCTCTTCCCTCCCAGTATTCTCCCTGCTTTAGGTTTTTATGTGGTACTAACTAGCATATGTGACTTCCACCCCTACTTCCCCCAAGGTACAAATCTGTTTGACAAAATAACAGACAGTCAGTGCAAGATATTAAGAATTTACTTCCCCCCCTGCTCCCCCTTCTTCTTTTTTCCCCCCTCCCATTCTCCCCCCCCCCCATTAAGCATTTTCTGGTGAAGGAGTGCTTGGCATTGTTAGTACAGTGATGATGGCAAGTTGTTTGAATGCTGGTGCATGTGCTGCAACTGATTGGAAGGCAGGCCATTGTATGTGTTAGTATTAACACAAGTCATCCATGCTTTACCTCTTCTGCCTGTTGGTCTTGCCAAAGGAAGGAATAAAAAGAAAAAAAAAGTGAGCATTCCTCTTTTGACACTGAAGCACTTAGTTTAATAGTATTTTGTGACACTGACTATTTTGATTGTTCCTCATGCTACAGACTGAAAGTCACCTGTGTATAATGAAATACTCAATAATTTAATTGAATTCTTCCCTTTCATGCTTGGCAAGGATGGGCCTATTATGATTCTTAGGTCATTAATAACATAGTCCATTTCAAATGTAGGTAATAAAATGGAATTTGTAGTTTAACTTTGAGAGCTTTAATATTTATGAATTCTAGTAGATAGAATGACAGCTGTTCAGTGGCCAAACATTAGATCATACTAAATACCATGAAATACTGCTTCTGTTCGAAATATCAAGTTAATTTAAAGAGCTCAATTTTTCTTTATGGATGAAAGATGGAAATAGATTGGGCAGTTTTATGCAAAAATATCCCATCACAAAAGAAAGAAATAATTAAATTTGCCATTTTATTCTTCTTACTGATAAATTTTCCATGGAAGTTGCATGCTGGTTGAAGGTAGAGCATGAATTGCATTGACTCTTCTGAAATCATCTCTACAGTTATGATGTTGGTTGCACAGTTTAAAGTAGTTTCTTATGACAATGCTTGTAATTAATCTTCTTTGTGAATAGTTTGTGGTTTAACATGGAACTTTCATAGAAAACATATTCCTCTTGAACTTTTTAAAGATAAGATTGAACTATGCTTTCTTGAATTTATTTTTTGTAAGATGCTGAAACAGCTACTGTCCACTGTCACAGAAGACTTGGTGCTGTGGAGGTTTTTCTCCCCCCCCCCACTGACCATGTTATCAGACCTGTGTCTTAGCACTGTAGAATTTGGTAATTTAGGAAACTACCTAGTTTGATTATATGTAAAAGCAAAGTATGAGGAAAAATACTTCTGCAATCTTGAGTCAGTGTTCTGGATGACTGAAAAGGAGACAGGTTTGTCAAGGACCTACTTTGCTTTTTCTGTGTCTTTGCTACAGATCCATTCTTAGCTGTTGTGTCAAGTTACAGTAACTGCTGTTTTCCTTTTTCAAAAAAATACTGTAGTTAAACTGGAGAGACTATGCATCTGTAATAGCTCCCATCAAAACAGTTGAGGCTGAATTCATAATTGAAGGTAGTATGTCTAATGGCATAAGCCTGGTGGATCTTCTGGCACATATATTAGTGGATGCTCTGGTCTGAAACTGCCAGTATTCCACTAGGACTGAATTTCTTTATCAAACAAACCTTTAAAGTAATTTCAAGTAATTGGAAATGAGGGGAAAATCCCCCCTAGTTAAGATATATATGTCTTTCATGGAATGTATAATATATGAAAGGAAATGGGCAAACTGTATAGTACATTTATGCAGGAGAATTGAAACCTAATTTACCAGTAATGCAATTGTCTCTACATAAACAACATCAATTTTGCAACACTAATGAGTATTCTCTGGGGAATAAATTATCTAGCAACTTTGAGATAACTTGGTTTGGACTGCAAGATGCATTGCTCCTCTGAAAAGTGGTTCTAGGTTTTCTGAGTTTA